GTTTTTAGTAGAATAACACTTATAAAATTAAAAATGATAAATGTAGCTAAATATACCAGATTACTATCGTCCTTCGTTTCACTATTATCAAAATATTTCATAATATGTACAAATTATTAATTGTTTTTAAAGTTATCTAATTAAACATGGTCAATTTTTTTTGGTTTTACTAAATAATTCTCAAAAAAAATTACAATAAATAAATAAAGTCAAAAACTGCTTTTAATCACTTCTCAATTCTCTGTGAAAATTTTTAGTTCGAATTATTCGAGCAAATAGTTTTTTTTATAAAAAATCGAAACCGGTTTTCGAAAAAATACTTTTCGATAACCGGTTTTCTGAAAAATCGGTTTTGAAAGAAAGGGATAGATAGAGAGAAGCGGATATAAACAAAAGGAGAAAGAAAGGGACAGAGATACGTGGATAAGGTGAAAGGGCGATGAAATAAAAATATAGAAAAATGTAAACATTATGTATTGAAAGGTGTTAAAAAAAATTAAAAAGAGACTCCACCGTCTAAAACGCTCGAAAATTACATAAACAAAAATATCGTATTCCAATATTCCAATATTCTATTACCATTTTAAACCCGTAAATCTATTTATTATCGCTAATGAATTAATATAAAATTACAAACATTCTATCCTATTAACTCGGCGGAAACAAAAGCGCGTGTCGTATTCAATGACCGGAATCATTTGCATTATCATCGTAGTATTTATATCGATATATATCTCAATTCGATAGTAATATCGAACCACCACCAGAACAGGGGTGGTAAACTGGTATTTCAATTTTGTAATGGTACGGGAAGGACATAGTCATTTGCACCCGCTGGCCAACCGCCGAGTACAATAGATGGCGGATTATTGGAATGGTACTTTTGGTGTAATCACAACTCATCGGAAAATAGGAATATATATATATATATATATATATATATATATATTTGTATTATAAATTTATATATCTATACCGAAATATTTATATCGGATTACAGAAATGTTAAGCCACGCGGTTATGATAGTGTGATGTGGTATCGATTTACATGCAACAGATATGGACTAGTAATTTTTCAGTCCTCTACTCAATTTTAACTTTTCAATCTTTTTCATATATCTTTACTATTTAAAGGTTATTGAACACTTTGGCCTTAGAAATACATTAGAGAAAGTGAATGTAAGTGTGTGTGTATGTGTATGTGTATATGTGTGTGTGTGCGGATACATTTAAACACTGCATATTGTATCTTCATTTGTCTTAAATTAATTAAGTAGAAACTGTCCATTTGTACCAAAAAATAATTAGCACGATTTTCTACCAATATCTATTAAACAGTTGATGAATTTTGAAAATTGTTTTAAGATTTACATCAGATTTCAGAAGATTCAGAAATAAAGAACAAAAATTTTGCATTTTTTCACTAATTTTAAAGAAACGGTTCTAATGATTGTCTCACAAAAATAATCAACGTAAATCCTTTCATCAAATGATTTTAAATGTTTGAAATCGGTTTAGCCGTTTTTGAGGAAACGTGGACGAAAGGTCAAAAATCGGCTCACATATACACACACACACTTTTTTTCAAATTTGGACTCAGACAAACAGAAGAGAAAATAAAATTAGCAATTCGGATTTTTGTGCAAAAACAAATTTATTTCTTCAAGTAAAAATTAAGATTTTTATCAATCTAATGCACTTTTCATATTTTAACTCAAATTAAACGTCTTATAGCCAGAATTCGACAAAAATAACCAAATAAAAATTTATTTATTGAAATGAGTCAATTTTGGACTCGAAACACTTATATACTGAATTTATAAAACCTAATTCAAATAAAAAAATAGTAAAAATAAATATAAATGGATGGAAGAAATACAAACTCATATTTCTGAAGTCTAAAATCTACAGAAAATTCTCAAATTTTTAGGCAAATATTATATTTTGTCATTTATTATAATTTTTACGTAAGTCTCAGCCAAATAGTCAAAATAGCCAAATATTACTTGATCGAGATATCAAGTGCAAAATAAAAATCTATTATGTAAGATTCATATCTTACAACCACAAATATTTGTTTCTTTTTATGAAACACGGGTCTATAAATTTAACAATATCTTTGTCATCTATAAATATATAAAAGAAGTATAAATGGATCGGAAACACAGCCACTTTGTCATTATATCAATTTTAATTGTTTTCGCTCTCAATAGAGGCGCCACCAATCGTAGCACGATTTACCCTTAGGTGTAATTCTAGATAAATTTATAATATTGCAAAGATAATCCTAATTCATTTGAATAAACGAAATGAGTTACAAAATTAATTCAAATATATTTTGAACTGCTTCACATATATGTTATCACAAAAATGAATATTAAAAAAAAATTAAACATTAAAAACACCTACGTGTATTATAGTAAGAGTATCAGTTCTTTAAAAAGTGTGATGAATTTGGGCACAATGAAGACCCTGAATGCAGAAATCACTAAAACTAGGTAAAGCACATTTGTTCTAAGTTTACCCCTATGTTATCAAATCAATTGTCAGTTCTATTAAAATAATCCAATGCCCCTCTGTCCACCGAATGGTGTGATTCAGCTGCCGGGATTGAATTCATTCGAGAGGTATCACGATTTTGGGGCCATCCGCCAACCAAGCCAGTGGATGATATCATTTTCATTTGGAGGGTTGGTGTGAGTACTTACAGGAATGAGATTTTGATGACTGCATCACCAAGAGTTGGGGGCGCGCGTATTTGGAAATGGGGGCCACCGGAGTTCGTGTTGATTTGATTCGGGATCATTACAGTGCAATGGAGCACCTTTAGGACACCCCATTTAACACGATCAAACATTAATCTATATTTGAAAAGCGACTATGGTCAAATAATCATATCCCCCCCCATCAACTCATCAGTAATGAATAATGGGAAATACATAAGGTTGATGGATCGAAATATTTATCATTTTGAGTAGAATTTTTAGTATTATTATAAATTATCAATTGATTTTAGTATTAACAATGAATGCAATCATTTACTAAAAAGTGTCTACTATCCAAATAAATCATTCCTCCCCTTATCGACGTTTATGTTCCCAGTACAAAAAATCCAACTACAAATTCAGGTAATTGCAAACTCTGAAAGTTCAGCATCGAATCATTATGAAAGTTTAATTAGAAAATGAGTTGCAAAATAAACTCAACTTTATAATAAATAATTGTGTGTGTAGTAGGATAGATACGGGCAATGATTTATCAAGTTTGGACTTTTTCCTGTCAACATAGGAGTTGATAAATATGTTATATAGTGGTTCCATTGTGTCTGCTGATGAAGTTTTGTAATAGTTCTGATGTGTCGAATCGATAATAAAATAAAATTGGGAAGAAGAAAATTGTAATAGAAATATTCGGTTTGGAAATGCGGAAGCTCGAGCTCTTAAAGGATAATAAATATTTACTTAGGTGTATATAATGGATAGCAAAAATCCATATTGAGATGATGATACAAATCTAATTATGAACTAAAAATTATAAAGATTTTTTTTTTGCATGTAGTCAGTACGGGCTATTTCTAGGAGTCATTTTTTTAACTCAAACTTGACGTCTATAAGTTTAGCATTTCTGCGGACCAATTTTGTCTTTAATTTTACATTTTGTATTCATCACGTTAATTTAATTTTTAAATAAGTATAAAATCCCAGATTATCTATTATTTTATGTAAACATTAAACCGATAAAGTGTCAATTTATGATTCAACGTTCGAAATGTCCTTGTCCAACGCGCGTGGACATTTGACCTATGACTTGATAGAAATAGATGCCAAATTAAAGGAAAAGTATAAGATTTAGGTATATGTAAAAAAGAATTGTAATTTTAAGAAGTAGTAAAACGGATAATATAAATATATATTCCATTATAAGACGTTTATTACAAGGGTTTTCCCAAACGCATCAACATCTGAACTGTGACCTAATAGAGTTAGATCGTATATTATAAGAAAAAGTATAACATTTAATAATATTAAAAAAATAATACTGGTAATTCCGAAAATAATTTAGCTAAAGAGTAAACTTAGTTGGTAAATGGTTTTTAAATTTTTGAAAACGGTGCATCCGTTTTTGAAAAAACGTCGTCAAAAGGTAAAATTTTGGCTTTACTCCAAATTTCGCGTTAAAGGATTCAGAATGATTTGAAACTTCGAGAAATCTGATGAATGGCGAACTTATCTTTCTATTACATTATTTCCCTCGTATTTATTTTTGCCCATCACCCAGTAATTAACTAAAGTTACATCCTTTTACATTACTTACAAACCGATTTGTTTATTTCTCATTAAGAAACGCAAATAGATCAGGAACCGAAATTAAACATCCAGATGGAGTTTTAGATTCATTGTTGGCGGCCAACAAACGAATTAAGTTCGAATTGTTTTATTTATGTTTTAATTGAGAAATTGCAACTTTGCAACTTGCTATTTGTAATGCTCTTTTACAGCAATTGCGAATCAGGAATAAAATTATTTGGTAACAAATCTCGGTTGTATGAAGGTGAACTTAGTGTAAATTCTCAGATAAAATAGAAATATAGGGTCCGTTAGTTAACTTTTTTATTTTGAAAATGCTATATATAAACTACTAAATGTTTTCTCAATCTAAATCTTTTCTATTTGAAAGTGCAATCCATCTGGTTAATACTCGAAAATAATTTCATTGAAATGGCTGTCTAACTTTTAAATGACTGTCAAAAAATTCTAAATTGCTACCAATAAAAAAAATCATATTGCGGACCCTTTATTATGGTAACACTGTGTTACGGGTCTATGTACATATAAATTGGTAGTCAAAACTGTCAAAAAGCTATGTATTTGCTGTGCGATCAGGCGTTTTGTAAATAAAACCTAACTTCTCGCATATGTTATATAGGAGACATAAAAGAGAGACTTCTGATAAAATTGCCATTTGACAACCAAGTAATAAATATCTATTTTTTATTACAGGTGGTTTTCTCGGTGACATAGCCTTACCAGATGTAAAGTACGAGACAGAACTGAACGCCAAAAAAATAAACGAAACTTTGCAGAGAGAATTGGAAAGATTGAAGCAAGAAGTCTTCCATGAAGGTCTACAAGTTGAGGAAGAAGGTCTTCCTGAATTATTCAGAAAAAGGGCTAAGCAACCTGGTTCGGTAGGACCATCTAGGAAGATCAATGATCCTGCCTTGACATCAAGGGTAAGAGAAAAAAACTTAGTTTCGGTTATATTACTTTAATAAAATTATTTTATTTCCAATGTATTATATTTAGGGAATATGATAAAAATTACCAGGCTCTGTTGTAAAGCCAATTTAATTAACAAACAATTATTTTGACTACAAATCCAAACTCATTTTACCTTTGTCCTTTATCTTTTCAGGAATCTAAGGCAATTAACATCCGTCCTTACAAAACAATTCACGGATTCAACAATGCAGAAATCTACGTTGCCAATTCGTACACAACTTCCTCTAAAAATAATCGACTGACGTCTTCCACAAAATCAACAAATCAGCAGTCATCAACTAAACCTCCTTCAGAAATCGAGGGCAAAACTATAAATGATTCCAGTGCTCTTGAACAAAATGGTGTTCTGGCAATTAACATGAGCAAGGCTAATCTTTTGAAGTTGCAAAATTTGGATCTGATTGTTGGAACCAGGGGACGAGATGTGGAACCTGCCGAAAAAATTGGGAAAGTTCAGAGTAATAGTAGAGAAATTACTGGTAAGTAGAGTAAAAAATCATTTCCTCGTTGTTTTTTCAATTAAGGAGCATATGAATGTTCTGTAATTGTCTTTATTCAGTTTAAAGCAAATGTATGAATTAATTTATCCATTCCAGGTGATGCCAATGGAAATCTTCAACAAAAACGTGAAATCATCATCCAACCTACGACAGAAACTATTCCTAGAACAACTGAACCAAGAAGGTTTAGTGACACAGGACCTTTAGAAAGACCTGGTGTATTGACAGCTTCTTCAAATGAAAATCAACCTAGGAAAAGACGTCATGGTACGAGAAGAAGGTTAGACAAATTTTTTCGTCTCAGTAATCTAGTAGGTGGAATAAAATTAAATATCTTGATATAATTTGATGATGTATAAGCTAAGGAATCAAATATTGGATAAAAAAGAAATGTTATGTTATGGGTCTATCTTCGTATGAGTTGGTAGTAACAAACTATAAAAAAGCATCTTAAGTTATCATTATTGCATCTTTCTGATGTGCATTGAAAACACATACGTTATAAAGTAAGGCCTACATTATATTATTTTTTTCACGTAGAATAAGGGTAAAAATTATTATTTAAGTCGTACCACTGCCTAAATCGTACCAAAGTTATATTTTATTTCATAATTTTAAGTTGCAACAAATGGTACCTTTAATTTTATTTGAGTAGATTTAGAAATAATTCGAAAGTTCTTATTAGTAATTTTAACTGAGCTGTAAGCCTATTAGGACAAGAATGTAACATTTTTTCTCACTAATGTTTATTTTTATTACTTTGTTATTATATTATTGGACAATCGCTTAAGTATATTCAAATGGTAGTTCAGGTCATGTCAGTAATTTTGATCAACCATCAAGAATCTTGTACCTTAATTCGTACCTGCGCAAAATTTCTTACTAGTATCGATTTAATAAATTTTAAGACTTCTTTACTGCTATTTTATGAATAGTCCTATCTCCAATCTTAACACCCAAAAATTTTATTTTGAGTACATTTGTTACGTTTAAAATTATTATATTATTTTTTGTATTATTTTGATAATTATATTTGACTTGGTAACAAGTAACTGAGGGGGCGTCTATTAATCACGTGATCGATTTTTTGAGGATTTTTGTACCCCGCCTCTGCATGGATGATACATGGCACTATTTAAAATTACCCCTCCTCCCCCATCAAATATTACGTGTATTTTTAGTTACTAGAATGATTGTAAATATTATGATTTTTTTGAAAATGCTTGGATTTTTTTAAAACAATTCAGGTAAAAAATAAATACACGTGATATTTTACTGTACCCCTCTCGCCCCCATGTGATATTTTGTGATTTTTTGTCAAACCCCCCCTTCCCCTAAAAACCTCATGTGATTAATGGACCTAAACCTGATCAAAGCAACTAGGCGTCTTAACAATACCGAAAGCACATTTTTGACTTAAAAACCCTATTTCAATAATAATGTTTCATTGTCAGAAATTCTTAATTTTAAGCCAACTAAATGAAGATTCAATATACGCTAAAAAAATCTTTGAATTTATTTACATTTATTTAAATATAAAAGCATTTTATTTGGTGGTATGACTTAACAACCAGCAACCTGAATATAATTTTAACATTACATTCTTCTACTAAGTATATGAATAACATCAAACCGAAGCTACAAAACGCACACACGCCCAATAACAATTTTATCACAAGTGCATCTCTCAGATGTGTTATTGATAACACAAACGTGAAGTTAGGTTTTATGTGTAAAACGCCTGATGGTACAGCAAATACATAGCTTTTTTGACAATCTCATACAATTCTAGACCCGTAACAGATCGTTTCTATTTTATCCCAGATTTGGACTCTAAATACACAAATAAAAAATTAATCTTCTTTTTAGTGACCGCAAACCAAAAAAAGAAGAATCAGCCACCGAACCACTTATCATAGAAGGCGACATCGTAATTTCAGAAACCAGACCAATTCCAAGACGCAAAAATTTGCGAAAAAATCATAAAAACCACTCCAAAAAATTAGGGGTGACACCATCATATAAACAGGAACTTAAAACATCCAAAGGCAAAAAACATAAGAACGAGGACCCACTTTTAGGTGAAGATTACGTAATATCGGTGAAGACAAAAGTTGGTAAGAGGAAGAAGAATAAAAATAGGAAAATTGTGCCAAAGTCTGAAGATTTGCAGAAGAAAGTTGAAGATTTGGGAACTGAGAATAAACAAAAAGTTCAGAAGCAACTGGAGGATGAAATTTTGTTTCAGGATCAACCGTTTTATCAAAACACTAAAGGTATGTAAAATATTAACGTAATTAGCGTAACAATATTATTGTGCATTTTCAGTAATGGCAAAATATTTTTTAAGATTCCGGATCTTCCCAACGTTCCTCCCGAAACCACTTCTTAGAAGACGAAATACTCTTCGAGGAGCAACCCACTGGTCACCACCAAGACTATCAACAAGAGCACAGAAGGGCCACAAGGGCTGCAACTGCCCGAAAGGAAAGAGTTTGGGACAATGGTGTAATTCCCTATGAAATCGATGGAAATTTTAGTGGTCAACACAAGGCGTTATTTAAACAGGCCATGAGACATTGGGAAAATTTTACTTGCGTTAAATTCGTGGAGAGAAATCCTGTGGAGCATCCTAATTTTATTTTGTTCACTGAACGACCATGCGGGTAAGTAAATTATATTGTATATTAGTATATTTCAATTTTGTTTACAATTCGGCTATTTGCCACGATGACATGGAAAATTCATCCAGTTTAGTTTGAATATAAACTAAACACAAAAATAAAATAATCACGATAAACCCCATATATATCCCTTGACAATCTACTAATTCTACAAACCAAGTAGCATAACAAATTAATCTGACACACGTGTCATAATTTCTCCGTTCAATTCCAGTGGCGTGCGCACTATCCTACCCATAAATGCTAACTAAATCAGTTTGCATGTATATTCCCCATTGCAAATGTGCAATGTGCAATGTGCAATGTGAAATATCTGTCCGTACATGATGCATTTGGATTAATTGATATGGAAATCTAAATGAATGAGCTGTCAGAATATCTGTACACTGATTATACTGGAATCGACGTTGATGGAAAATGAGATATGGGATATTCGGGATAAATATGAAAAATTGAGTTATAAATTGCCATTGGCATATTTGCAAAATAAATCGTAAAATAATACTAGGAAATTATTTTTTGCCATAATAAATACGAACATGGTATAAATACTTTTATAACTAGTGATGCATGGCTTTGTCCATATGAAAAATTAAAATTAAAAAAAAAACCTTAAAATTATTTGAAAATTTTGTGATTTTCAAATTTGAAAAAAAAAAACGAATTTTTTTTACATCTTGAAATTTTTGGAAAATTTTGAACTCAATTTTGCAGCAATCGCGCTGCATGATTGCTTTAGTATTGAATTATCGAAGCGCGTAAGCGCCGAGTTGAGTTCTAACGGATAAACAGGGAAACCATAGATATGTGAATAAAGTTTGTACTTATTATTAACATCTCTATAAAATATCTGATCAATTGATGTGCATATGTTTAATAATCATTATTTGACCGGCAAATGGTTTTTTCTCCAGATCTCCGAAACTGCTGGGACTGCTTTCCATAAGGTTCAATCAATTTTTCATTCCATCAATACAAGTAAAATGATTTTTGAATTATTCAAATCGGATTATCCGTTCTCTCAAAAACTGAATTGCGATTTTGTCACGTTTTTCGAAACGGTTGGACCTACCTTTGCAAAAAAAACTATAAAGCACGTTTTTTCGTCAATAGGTAACGAATGCTTTTTAAATTGTGCTCTCAAAATCGTAGACGATATTTTGTATCCGCATATACATACATACATACATACATACATACACAAACAAATTCATTTTTCTGAGTGATGCCAAAATGTTTAGAAAACTTTGAACCTTAAAGATATGCAAAGATTTTCATTTTCGATTTTTTTGCGTTTACTATAACTTACCCTAAGGAAATTAATAAATAAATCTCAATGATGTCGAGATGTTCATTAAGACAAAATATGTAACTTCCACGAAGTTAAACTTTATCATCAAAATTTTAATTAGCTCTTCAGTGTTTTGAAAAAAAAACCTCTCGACGTTTCTTTATTTTCTATATCATTCGAAATTCTCGAAAAATTATATACGTCTAATATATTTTTCAAAATACGAAAATGATCATGAAAAAAGTCATGAACCATAAGGACATAAATTAACTCATTTTCGATTTCAATAACTTGTGCTATATAGTAAGGTGACTATACGTCCCGGGTTTTTATAAATGTAATATTTCTCTCTTATTTAGATCTTTAGTCCCGGATTGCTGACTTAAATCGAATTTAAATAAAAATTTGATTCATTTATAAAAAAATGATTTTTATTGCAGTCTTAGTAGTCCAGTCATTTAAGCTTATATTAGGTAAGAATCTCGGAATTAAAGATACCCAGCTGTATTGATACCCTAAAGTTGTCCCAAAACCTACATATGGTAGGGTGTCAATACCATATATAGGTTTTGAGATAACTTTAGGGTGTCAATATACAAGTATTTAGAGACTTACAACTGGGTATCTCGAATTCCGAGGTGAACTTACTATAATAACTGGCCTATAAATAGTATTTGTTATTTTAAAACTATTAAGTTTTATTGCATCAAACTCCCCCCCCCCTTGACTCGTCTCGGATTTCCATAGCTAAAAATTACCGCCCCGGTATAGATTTTAAAAAAATATGATCACCTTAAATATAGAGCGAAGGATTGGATTATAATAAATACAAGGTTTCCATATATTTAAGAAACAAAACACTCGTATAAAACGCTTTTCCCTCGTTCATGGAAATCAAATAACAACATGTCACAGTCGCGTATGAAATACGGGGCCATACATCAACCCCATAGAACACATATACCGGCGAGTCATTCAGGAAATTGGTTGCCTCTGAGACGATTGACCTATAAACGTGTCGGAGCGATTTCTAGGTAAACAAAAAGTTGAAAACTACGCCAACTCCCAACTCCCAACTTCCAACTCTCTTACTCTCCTCCTTCATAGTCATATCGGAAAGCACATAGTTTAGTTTTGCCATGAGGATAAGCGAAGATAAATGTATTTTCGAAGCTTAAAATAGATATAGAGCAGGGATGGTGGACAACATTAATAGATAGATAGATATAGATACATTTTTAACTAAATTACATAATAAAGTCACCATGGCCCATGTGAAGTATATGTGGGTGTGTGTGTATCAAAGGTTTTCAAAAACGACTTGAACGATTTAAAAAATTTAAAGAGCATTCGATGTAATTCGATAAGAAATCACGTTTATCAATTTTTCATGGCCTATTCGTTTCTAAGAACTAGCAGGAATCTCAGAAAATATTTCGTCCAAGTTTTGACTAAAAATCCTGAACGGATTACGAAGTTCTTTTTTCAACAATTTTTAATGCACCTAGTGATATAATTTATGGAATAAACGAACATCCTAACATTTTATAGTTCTACGAACTGTCGTTGAATTAATTTTTTTTTAAAAAAAATGGGATAATAGGATGTGTTTTTAGGACATGTTTGTGCACTATGATTAATATAATTACATTCATATATGAGAGTTTGATTTATTTTTAGTAAAAGCGAAAACTTTATCTTAGGAATCAGCAGTTGAAAATTTAATCTCAATAGCTAATTCTTAATTTTTATTGATTAGGTCTATTATGTAACGTCTTAAGGCAAATTGCCATTTACACCTAGTTATAAATCAATTGAAATTTACAATTTTACTATGTATTCTATAATCTTTGGCCACATCTGTTATATATGTTGTTATGATAGTTCGTTCACATCGAGAAAAATGATTGATTTTTATGATGTTTTCGAGAACACAAAACTTTTATTCTATGAAGTCGATCGCGAAAATATTTGCATAATTGTAATAATAAATCACTATACTTCTCTCTAACTACATACTCCATCAAAAACAAAAGTAATAAAAACATTATATCTATATTCCTCATTTTTTGCAGATGTTGTTCCTTCGTGGGAAAACGCGGAAATGGACCACAAGCTATTTCCATTGGTAAAAATTGCGACAAATTTGGTATAGTTGTCCATGAATTGGGCCATGTTGTTGGATTTTGGCACGAACACACCAGGCCTGATAGAGAAAATCATGTCCAGATCGTCAGAGAAAATATCATGTCAGGTAAATAAAATTGAAATATTTGAAAAAAATCCTGATTGGTAATACAGCAATTTAACTCTTAAAATCTGAACAACTAAATCATTTATAGATTTGAAAAATTTTGGAGAAATCTTGGTTTAAATATGTTAATCCTAGACTTAGATATCAATCTCAAACGTGCTTTTAAAATTATGAAGCAATTATTATGATTTGGTTTTCCTGTTCAAAACGTGTCGGCACCCTTTCTCATAGGATTAAGTACAATATCAGTTTCCTAAATATACACTACAAAGGGCATACCAGTTTTTAGTGCCTATATCATTACCTTTGTTATTTAAATTTCAACAACGCATTCTTTATCTAGTCTTAAAAAAATATCGACCCCAAAATAAATAGGCAGTTTATTAGTATACCTCTCAATGTAATCTGATTTTTCCTTTCTAGGTCAAGAATACAACTTCAACAAACTGACAGACGAAGAAGTGAATTCTCTAGGTCTTCCCTACGATTATGATTCCATAATGCACTATGCCAGAAATACATTTTCTAAAGGAACTTATTTGGACACTATTTTGCCTATTGAATCTGCTTTGAATAATAGGAAGAAACCAGAAATTGGACAAAGATTGAGACTCAGCGAAGGAGATATTGCACAGACTAATTTGCTTTATAAATGTCCAAGTAAGTATGATAAAAGATACAGAAATAAAGTTAGGAAACTTTACAGATCAGAACTTATGAAATTATCTAGGAATCTAAATATGTATATATTATATAAAGGGAGGGCCGGTTTGACAAAAAATCACAAAATATCACATGGGGAAGGGAGAGGTCTAGTAAGATATCACGTGTATCTATTTTTTACCTGAATTTTCTTCTAAAAATCCAAACATTTTCAAAAAAAAATCAACAATTTTACTTTTTTTTCGTAACTGAAAATGCACGTGATGTTTGGTAGAAAAGAGGGGGGGTGGCGTAATTTTTAATATCACCACGTGGATGGGAGGGTCCAAAAATTCTCAAAAATCGATCACGTGATTAACTTTTTTTCATTATAATTTATTTTTGTTAATCAATCACGTGATAAATGGACGCAATTCTATAATTTGATAATTTTTATAATTCAACTGCTCAATATAGGCCTATAATATTTTAGTATGTTATTTTGGACTACAAAACGCATCGTAACACAAAGTTTCATCAAAGAATTTATTTTCAATATTTAATTACGAAGAAACGTCCCGACCAATTTTCACCAAAAACTAATCAGCACGAATCCCAACCAATATCTTGCGAACAGTTTTTGAATTTTTGAAATCGATTCAAAATTGTGGCTTAAAACGCAGAGGAAAATTTTCACATTCAATTTGCTGATCACAAAAAACGGCTTAACTGATCGCCGCCCGAAGCTGATCAACGATGATCTATGTCGAGATACAGCAAATGGCCTTTAAATTTATGAAATCGGTACAGCCGTTTTTGAGAAAAATGTCGGCAAAAAGTCAAAAATCGATTCAAAATAGTGAAAATTTTTACATTATTTTACTGATCACAAAAAACGGCTTAACCGATCGTCGCACAGAACTGACCAACAATAGTCTTCATCAAGATACATCAAACGGTATTTAAATTTATGAAATCGGTACAGCTGTTTTTGAAAAAACGTCAATAAAAAGTCAAAAATCTCTTTCCATCCCCTTGTCTCTATGTATCTCTATCTCCTTCTCTACCCTTGTGAAGTCTCTTTATATAACTATCTCTTTCTCGCTTTCTACCATTCTCTATTTATCTCTTTCTCGCCTAATCCTTTTCTCAATCTCTCTTTCTCGCTTGCTCTCTTTCTTTATCTATATCTTTCTCGCTTACTCTCTTTCTTTATCTATATCTTTTTCGCTTGCTCTCTCTATCTTTCTCACTCTTTTTCACACACATACTTTTTCCAAATTTGGTCGCATTCAGATTCAGAATGACTGAAAACGTCGAGAATACAGGAAAAACAAAGTTAGTAAATCCAATATTTGCGAGAAAACAAACTGTTCTTATCGCGAAGTTAAAAACAAAACAAAAACCCTTTTAACCCTTTCCACTCGGGCATTTCAAAATTTGTATGCATTTTGTCGCCGGAACGGCGGCATCCGAGTGAAAATGGTTAATACTTTTGACCTTCAAAATCTTGTCTATCCCAATTTATATAACAAAGAAATATGTATATCCTTGTCCAAGTTTTGTTATACTTGAAAATTCGTATTGTGCCAATGGAAATTTGTCTTGTTCCAATTTTATATTCTTGGTTTTGGGAGAGATTCTATTCCAAAAATTGATATCACTGATATTAAGAGTTTCTACATTCGACTGAACCGATTACATATCTTATTTTCCATGTGCGTCCAAAAATTCAACGTCTAACTCCATTTCAACTTCCTCACATTAAATATTAATCATTAATTGCTTTCTACAGAACCTTATTTTATCTCGACTCTTTCTCATATTATTATTTTTTTTTTAATTTCCAGGTTGTGGTCAGACTTTGCAAGAAAACACTGCAGCTTTCACTTCACCTTCTTATCCAATTCACCTGAACCCACCAGGAGTTGACCAGCAACGCTGCGAGTGGCGGATTACTGCAACTCATGGGGAAAGAATTGTGCTGAATGTTACTGATTTGGATGTATTCAAATCTGATAATTGCAGAACTGATTATTTGGAAATACGAGACGGGTAAGTAAATAATAGTAAAGGACATTTGTGGTAAGAATCATCAATAATAAGTTGGCCCTGCATTGTAAAGTTTCGGAATTAATAGATTCAATTTTACTTTAAAATAGTATAAATAAGATATTTCATTTGCTTCTTTCGAGATAATAATGATGATCATTTTACTCCCAAAACGTGTTCTACTTACTCTAGATTCCACATACAAACACGTTTATCAATTAATATTGAGATTTTGATTGAGATTTTCCTTTTATTCAGTTACTATTACAAGTCACCACCTTTGGGAAGATTTTGTGGGAGTGGAAGAATTACAGATGCAGTTGTGTCAACTGGAAGCAGAATGCTGGTGACTTATGTAACATCACAAAAACAGAATGGACATCGAGGATTCAGTGCCAGTTATGAAGGTAAAATATTCATAAAATAAAAATTTTAAACTCTTGCAAAAAAATTGATGGATTTATATTTCTATTATCTTTATCCAGCTTTATGTGGTGGAGAACTAGACCTAGATGCCGGTGGTCATTTGGAATCTCCAAATTACCCAGAAGATTATCAGCCAAGTAAGGAATGCGTTTGGAGACTTACAGTTCCTGAAGACTATCAAGTAAGTAGTAATTTTAGGAAAAATTAATTTTCTCCCAATTTTTGATCCAATATTAATTATATTGATGTGATTTTCAGGTTGCTCTCAAATTCCAGTCATTTGAAGTAGAAAATCATGACAATTGTGTATACGATTATGTAGAAGTTCGTGATGGACATGCTTTGGATAGTAGACTTATTGGAGTTTTTTGTGGGTATCGTGTACCACCAGATATTAGGTAAATAATGAAAAGAAATATATCACTGCTGAAAGATTTATATAGAATAAAACATATTAGAATATCATAAATTAATCACCACAATTAACAAATATCTTATTAAATTCAGAAGAAGAAACATAGACAAATGATCTAAATTTTAACATTTTACTCATTATTATGGAGAAACCATGACAAATGTTTGGTTTTTAGTTGCTTGATAGTAAATTATTTGATTTATAAAAATTAGTAGTGGTAAAAATAACTGTTTGATAATAATGTGATAAGTAGTTATAGGTATATTTTGTAAAAAGAGTTGACTTAGTAAATTTTGAAACTTCTACGGTAGAAGTGTTTCGACATTTTTCATTAATATAAACAACTTAATTGGAATTATATAAGATGTGAGTCGGATTAAATAATAAAATTTTCAATTACTTTCAGGTCAACTTCTAATAAACTGTTGGTGAAATTCGTTTCGGACAGTTCAGTACAAAAAGCAGGATTTTCAGCTATTTTCATGAAGGAGTACGATGAATGTGAACAGGTAAATAAAATCAAAAAGTTTTACTTCAAAAAAATATGATTGAAATTATTTCAATAAACTAATCAATATTAATTTTAAATAAATTTACTAAATTTTTTTTCTAGGTCGACCATGGCTGTCAACATGAATGTATAAATACTTTAGGATCATATGAATGTTCCTGCAATATTGGCTTTGAATTGCATTCTGATGGTAAAACTTGTGAAGGTAATTATAAAATTATTTAAAAAAAATCTGAGTTGGAATATAATATTTGAGTTCATATTTTCATCAAATTTAGAATAATTACTAAGGTTTGAAAATAAAATATTTAGAAGAAATATATTAATAGATCTGTAAAACAAACTAATATAATTCAATAACACCAAATAAAGAACTTGATTATTATATTAAAAAATTGCTTATAATTGATTTAACTATTTAAGAGCTTGTAGAATATACTACTCGTTATATGACAAATTTGTTTTTAATATTTTTTTTTATAAATTGGGGAACTTTCCATCAAAAATCAAGTTTATTTTATGAGGATTTATTTTATTATAAATGTTATAAATGCTCCAACAAATATTTCATTAAAATCATTTTAATGAATGTGTATGAATTTTAAATGCAAAGTGCGTTCGTAATGAATTTCTTGCGTTGAATTTCTTCGGATTAATTATATTTTTTTTATAATTAAATTAGAGGCTGTTACTGTGCAATTGACCCATATAATGTTTTTAATTAATCAGACCTTCTTTGAGAGCGTTAAATTAGTATCAAGGAAAATTAAAATTGCGAAGTAAAAATATAAATAAGAATATATATATATATATATATATATATATATATATATATACATATTAACAATCTTTTATAATTGCAATTGCAATTTCGCAAAATAAACTCTACATATTTAATAATTTTTTTTAGAACAATTTAGAGTTGATACAATTAGATTTAAAAGATAAGAAAATGAGTTAAGAAGTTAATTAAGAAAAAATTACTTAGAGTTCCAAGATAATAATAATTAATGAAGGTTTAGAATTAATACAATTAGATTTAAAAAGGCTAATAAGATGAGTATGTTTTAAAAAATAACACAATTAATACTCGAGAATTCGAGAGTAATTTTATATTTTCAACAGAACCACGATGGAAAATATGACACTTTGATTCACTTTAATAAGTATGTCACGTTAATATGTAAATTTAAATGTGTTATACCTAAATTTAAAAAGATTCATATTTTAAGCACATAAATTGTGTCGGTTTTTGTCCACAAAATTAATGGAACAAAATTTTTTAATAGTGTATTAGACAACTCACATACAGATTATCGAAATTCTCAATGCACATAAAATACATTCATGATAATAATTAGTATCAAATTAAATATTATTATTTATTTCAGATGCTTGTGGCGGAATTTTCGATTCGGCAAATGGCACCATAACGTCACCATCTTTCCCTGAAATGTATCCATCGAGCAAAAGTTGTGCCTGGGAAATTTTAGCACCACCTCAATATAGGATTACCTTGAATTTCACGCATTTTGATTTGGAAGGAAATAATGTATACCAGCAGGTAAATAATAAAAAAAATAACATATAATATTACATTTATTGCCCATTTATACTAATAAACTTTGTAAAAAAAAATATTACTGGGAGGAACAACTAGAAGTAAGTTCCTGAGTAAAATAATCAGCTTACCATTAGTATGCATTGCAGCCAACGATTTGTATTCATTGATATAGTTAAACGAATTTAGAATAGTTTTTTTAAATATATATTTTATCCCAATTTTCTTTCGTTTTTATCTTGATCCAAATTTTTGATCACCTTCTACCATTTTGACTTAACCCATTGGCTTTTCTACAAATCACTGGCACACTGGCCTGAGGTTCAAATTTATTTTATTTTATAAACAAGATTTTTCAAATTACGTAAATTTTCCAAAAAAAAATATCGCAGAATTGCTTTAAATTCCATTTGTCCATGTGAGAAATTTTGTCGATTTTTTCCCGTAGTTTACTGAGCTCTTTGACTTCCAGTTCTACTTAACGTATATATATTTCCACAAACAGTTTATGTAAGAATTTCTTTCAAAAAATTTTCTCTCCAATTTCATTTCTCATTACAAAATAAATACATCTTCAACTAATAAGCAGTATATAAATTGGACATATGATTATTATTTTGCCTCAATCGATTTTATATTTTCTATATCTAAACCAGATGAAAATGTCTAGTAGGAAAGATCATACAAATAAAGTTAATGGGAAAGTTTCCAAGTGGTCTTTCATTAAAGTTCCAGTTATATTTTTATTTATTTTTTACCAGGAATGCGAATACGACAGTTTGACTGTACATAGCAAAATGGGTGAAGACATCTACAAAAAACATGGAATTTTCTGCGGATCTCGGATGCCTCCAATGGTGACATCAGAAAAAAATGCAATGAGAATCGAATTCACATCTGACAATAGTGTGCAGAAATCAGGATTTGCTGCTGTCTTCTTCACAGGTAAGATAATAAATGACTAAATACATTTTACCTTGAGTTTTTATTATATTAAATTTTTTTTAATTAGATAAAGATGAGTGTGCGACCAACAATGGAGGATGTCAGCACGAATGTAGAAATACAGTAGGATCTTATGTTTGCTCCTGTCATAATGGATTTACTCTTCATGATAATAGACATGATTGCAAAGAAGGAGGTTGTAAATATGAAATTACTGCACCAACAGGCAACATTTATAGGTGAGGAAAAAATATGGAAACCAATGTAATTGATATTTGTCTACCAGGCAGTAAAAGAAAAAAATGTAATGCAACAATTATTATTTGATCTGGCGAAAGCAATCGTTTTGACTAATTCCGTGCAATTGATTATTATATTTTGAACAAATTATAACAATATTTTCGATTTCAGTCCAAATTATCCAGACTTGTACCCAGCTCGAAAAGATTGTGTATGGCATTTCACAACTACACCAGGACATCGTATCAGATTGCTGTTCAATCGATTCGAATTGGAACCTCATCAGGTAACACTAATTCATTTCTTCAGACTTATTTTATGAATTTTTAACCATTTGGATAATAAAGTTATTGACCACCCATAATTTTGTTATCCTAAAGACAAAATTCAAGTACTCGTCTACTCGATCTAGAATAATAAAGAGTAATAGAGTCTAACTATTTGTTTTTTTTTTACAAATTTGATTATTTCTAGGAATGTGCATACGATCACGTCGCCATCTATGATGGTCCAGGACCTGATAGTACAACCTTAGGAAGATTTTGTGGATCCAAATTACCACATGCTGTGTTAGCAAATTCAAACCAAATGTACATGGTGTTTAAATCGGATCAGTCTGTTCAAAGGGTTGGATTCTCTGCTACGCATTCTACAGGTAATTATTTTATTTAGACTAGTAGTAAGTGGCATTTTGCCTTGAAGCAAGTTGCATGAACTTGTGTAAATAATCGACTTAATCGGTAAGAAATCAATATAATTATTAATTTATAACTACTATACAGCGAGTTGCTGTAGAGCATTATAATGTAAGGAACTGTCAAAGAAAACTATTCAATTTTGAACAAAAGAAGTTATTACACATTATTGAAAATCAAACACGTTCCAAATGCATACAGTAAGTATTTTGTAAAAGCGCGGCCGAATATTTCAAATTTAAATCAATTTTTATAATTAAACCACTTTTCGTAGAACTATAATATTTTAGTACGTTCATAAAGATCAAGTACTCCATCCCCATACAAAGATTCATTAAAATCGTCAATATATTCTTTTTAATAACCAACAATTTTTTGCAAAACTAATGAGCACGACAGAGCACGATTTCCCAGTAATATATTTCAACTTTGCAAAATCGATTCATATTTTTGGCTATAACGCGGACGAGAAATTTTACGATTTTCTGATAATTTGAAAAAACGGCTCAGCCGATCGTATCATAAAACTAACCAACGCAAGTTCTTTTAAAGTTTCATCGAATAGTTTTTAAATTTTTGATATTGCAAAATTGATAAACGCTAGTCCTCATCGAGATACATCGAATGGCTTTTAAATTTCTTAAATCGGTCCAGCCGTTTTTGAGAAAACGGCGATCCACGGCAAAAAATCTGTTCACACACACACATACACACACACATATACACACACACAAACACAAACACACACATACTTTATCCAAATTTGGTCTCATTCGATTCAGAATTACTTGAAACGTCGAAAAAAACTTAAAATTAGCAGAACGCATTCTTTGGCAAAAACAAACTTCTCTCAAAATTAATTTCAAAAACAGTTGACTTCAAAATTTGAATGCTATAGCATTCATGTCATTTTTATTACAATAAAAATGAATGAACTTTTTCCAAATTTGGTCTCAATCGATTCAGTATGACTTGAAACGTCGAGAAAACAAAATTAGCAAATCGATTTTTTTGCAGAAAACAAACTTCTCTCAAATTTAAATACAAAATAGTTGGCTTCAAAACTGAATGCTATAGCATTCATGTCATTCTTTATTAAAATAAAATTGAATGAACTTTTTTCAAATTTGGTCTCAATCGATTAAGAATCACTTGAAACAAAATTTGCGAATAGAATTTTTTGATGAAAACATAAACTTCTCCTTCGGGAAGTTAAAAAAATTTAAAATTTGTTGTAAGTCTTTAATATTTTAGTATGTTCTAGAAGACCATGATATATATCGTCAATAAAGTTTCCTAAATATCGTCAAAAAAATTCAACAGTTAAATACAAGAAAAAGGGCAGCCCCACCTTCCCCAAAAACTAATCATTGCAATTCCCAATCTTTCAAACAGTTTTTGAATTTTTAAAATCGGTTCAATATTATGCTTAAAACGTGGACGAAAATTTTTACATTTTTCTGCTAATTACAAAAAAAACGGCTTTTTTCGCTTCTAAAAATTAATAATAAAAAAATTATATTTCCAGCTTGCGGCGGCCATTTACAAGTGACATCTGAAGTAAAACATCTTTACTCTCACGCCAAATACGGTGACCACGACTACGCAAATAGAGCAGATTGCGAATGGACTCTAGAAGCACCTATCGGCAAAAGTGTGCAACTAAATTTCCTACGTTTCGATTTGGAAGACGAACGCCAATGTGCTTATGACTTTGTTGAAGTCTTTAATGGATTGGACGATAATGCTGCATCATCATTTGGAAAATTCTGCGGCAAAACGGTAAGCGATGATAAATGAAAGTTTAACACAATATAAGCGGGGCGGGTAAAAATACCCGTTGGAATGTTCAAATAACTTCAAATTTTCATTTCATATTTTCCTATTTTTTTTTTTTTACAGACTCCATCAGAAATAATTTCAGGAAACGAAGCCCTCCTAATTCGTTTCCATACAGACGACACAATGGTTCTCAAAGGTTTCTCAGCATCCTACGTTGCAGTTGAACCGGTCGGTGGAATTTTCACCGACGAATATGCAACATCAAGAAGTTACAATGAAAATATCAACGTTAACAACAATCATCATACAATCAATATTGAAGAACCAGATGATACATCTGAATCTGAAGACGAGGATGAAGATGAAACTAACGAAGATTTAGATGGATTAGACTCAAAGTGGCCCCCTATTTCGTTACCTTTGATGGATCATAGAAAGGACTTGAGGAAAAATAGTGCTGGTATTCATAAGTAGATAGGTAGAAATAGTATGGTATAATTTTAATATATTAAGAAATGATTTAGACAGGTTTCTAGATCGCAAACACAGGTGCTTTGCCGAAACAACCATTTTAATTGCTTCCGCTCTCTATAGAGGGCACCACGAAAATTAACTCCTAGGTTTGATTCCAAGATAAGCAAATATATAACATAGCAAAAATAAAATTAATTAATTTGAATAAATGAAATGAGAATATAAATATTCATATTGTAATTAGAGAATCAGTTTTTTGGAAAAGGCGATGAATTTAGGTACATAGGCCCTCTGTCGAGTGCGGAAAACACTAAATCAGGGTAAAAGCACATTTCCTCTGTGTTTCCAACCCCCAAAGCCCAACAATTTTTATTTCAATAGAAAACTTGTAATTCTATTAGGCATAATAAATAAAAAAATTATATTAATTGTATAGGGCCATATCTCACAGTCATTTAGTTAGGTCATCCACAATTTTTTTATCACCATAAAATTTTATCAAGCCATATTGAGTATAAATTTATATACATATAATATTAATCTTAGTAGAAAATAATATAGTTATAAATAAACGTTATAAGTAATTTAATTTAAATTAATTTTTACAAAATTATGTACACCAATAATAATAGAGAAGCTAATTCTCCTAATAAAAATGTTATGTCGTGGGTCTATGTTCATATGAGTTGATAGAATCAAACTGTTAAAAAGCTATGTATCAGGCGTTTTACACATAAAACCTAACTTCAACCATGTGTTATCAATGGGGCTTCAGCAAGTTGCACTTATGACTACCAATTTTTTACTACCAATTCATACGAAGATAGACCCGTAAAAGTTTATTTTATCGCAGAATTGGCCTCTCATTGTCAGTTTCTAACATCAAGTGCAATTATTGCAAAATACTTTGAATATTTGTTAAAGAAAAATTATTTTTTAAACAAAAATTTCAAATTTGTATCGTCATCATTGTTTTCACTATCAGTTTTGAACGTTTTCCAAAAGCTGATTAGTTGATTAGCAAAAAGTGCAGTAAATTGCATTTTTATTTAATTATTGAATTGTTAATTTTCCAAAAAAACAGTAAAGGCTAACTATAAGGTTTTTTTTGGAATTGATATAAGGTCCACCAAATAACTTTTTTTGTTGAAAATGCTTTACAAACTACTGAATATTTTTTCGATTTTTTCCTTACGTTTTATTTGAGAGTAAAATCCTGTAATAGTAAAAATAAAAAAAGGAAACGTTAGTCATACCCTTTATAAATTTTAGCAATAAGTTAATTAGACATTAGTTGGATTATTTTGGATAATTGTTATTTTTTAAACGTGAGTAAGGTGATGAAAATTTCTGTTATTTAATAAAAATTGGCTTCGACAAGAGTCTAAAAACTTGTGCCACAAATTCATTAAATAACCACAATTATATACAATTATTATCAAAAAAATGTTTGAACCTTGTTACATATTTTACCACAATTACGAATTTAAATGTTTGTTTAAACAAATATTTAATTTTGTGACTCATAATTTTTATTATTTTGTTAGTTTTGTTTTATTTTTATTAGTGTGTGATTTTATAAACAATTAATAAACAAACGAAATGAATGTATGTATAGAAAAGTATAAATAATCTTTTATCATTTTAAACGTTTTTAGATGTACAGTAATAACCGATATCATAACAAATCTCCTAGTTAGTAATATAATTGTAATATAAATTTTTATAATTTAATAATATGTGCCAAATATGTTTTAAATGTATATTTTAGTCTATTTTTAATTATTTATAGTTTATTATAATTTTGAAGTATTTTTATAGGTATATATATACGTATTGTGATCTATTCCAGTGCACGTTTTTGTGTAATCATTAGTTTTTACATTTATATAAATATAATATTATTATGATCATTTAATAAAATATAATTACCAAGTAATAAATGATTTTTACTGTTCTGTGTAAAATTTAAAAAATAGCACGAATGGTAATTTTGGATAAGTGCAAATTGAAATTAAGATTTAGTTTGGTTATTATTTGGGTTTGAGAAGTTGTTTCAGAAATAAATATTGGATAAGCGTAAAAAATATCTTGCTGTATAAATATATAAAATAAATACGACAATTAACACTATTTTTAAACAACTAAAACTACTTTCAATATAAAATGAGTTAGGAATCTGATGTATCAAATTAATTGCTCAGATTGTGATTCAGTATATATTGGTAAAACTAAACAAAATTTAATAAAACGCTTTCAACGTTTATTCCAAATTTTCCAAAAAATAATTTCAAAAATTCTAGAACACAAATTGATTATTTTAACCCAACTGTCCTTGTTTTAGAGGAAAAATAATTATTTATAACTAAAAGTACTTTCAATAACGAACCCCTTAGGAATCTGATCTATAAAATTAATTGCTTAAATTGTGCTTAAGTGTATATCGGTAAAATTAGTCAAAATTTTACACAACGTTTTTAAGAACAATTTTAAATATCCTAGAACACACATATACTATTTTATAACCCAACTGTGCTTTATTTTGAAGAAAAAAATTATTATTTATAACTAAAAGTACTTTCAATGTCGAACGCCTTAAGAATCTGATATGTAAAATTAATTGCTTAGATTGTGATTTAGTGTATATTGGTACAATTAGCCAAAATTCAACAAAACGTCTTCAAAAACAGTTCAAAAATTCTTAAATTTTGCAAAAAAAAAATTCAAAAGGAGTTTGAAACGACAACAAAGCAATAAACAAACGCAATGACATCTTATATTGTTGTGAAATAAATATTTAATCAATTTAACAAAAATATCCGGTGACCAAAAAATTAGAATCGAAAGTATTGTTATTTTAGAAAAATATTCAAATTGACCATGATAAAATTTTGCGTGAAAAATATTGATAACTTCTTTCATTATAATATAGAATATGATCATAAATATTATAGATCTTATCTTAAGTTAATTATACATTAAAACATAATTTCAGACAAAATTATGTAATTGATCGATGTCGCCCGATACGAAAGTAATTTTTAAACAGATCTTGATATAAAAATATTACGTATATATACATACAAGGCTATTACAGGTGATCGATTATAATAAAACAGAATCATTTTTGCTATGTGAACTATATCATAACTAATGCAAATGCAAATTTTGTCAGGGAGATTGAAAACAAGGAAGGAACTTCCCGTAGGGTAAGTTACAAAAATCGCAAAAAATATCGAAAATAAAAATTCATGTATGCCATGCCGATTAGTTTTTAGCAAAGGTAGGTCCAGCCATTTCGGAGCAAAAGTGAAAAAGTCAGTTTTTGAGAAAACGCAGTGTCCCATTGGAATGATTTAATAAAAAATTGATTACAATTTTGGTAAGGCCATGTCAGGGTTTTCGAAGATCTAGGAAAATAGTTTCAAAAATGTCATTTGTCAGTCAAAAAACTGATCACTGGAAGTATACAATATTTACCAAACTTCACAATTTTTCCATTAACTACCTTCCTGATCCAATATTTGTCAGTGGTGACCTTGTATGATTTACCTGTAAAAGCCCTCCGTGTGTGTTTACGGTCAGGGATGAATTTGTCCCCGACAAGATAGACACCACGATACAAATCGATTTATCATTACCACGAATTCAACCGTCCAAGTAATTTGTAATAGAAATAAATTTATCGAAATAATAATAAATTATAGTAGCATGAGATTAAGAGAGAAAATTGGAGGAAGAAACAGAACAAATGTGCTTTACCCTGTTTTAGTGTTTTGTGCACTCAACAGATGGAATAATGTGCTCGAATTCATTACACTTTTAGCAACTGATTTTTCTTTTTATTATACACGTACTTTGAACCTTGAATATTTTTTTCATTATTTTGTAAAAACTTATTTGTTATTTCTGTTGTATTTTTCTGATTTTCAAAATAAATAAATAAATAAAATATATTTGTAATTTAGTTGAAAATAGATTTTATACGCGTATATTTCATTCTCATCAAATCAAACAGCTTTTCTTATTAATACTTCTAGAATCGTCTCTCATTTATTAATGTGTTCAATGTTCGACACTGTTTTTAATGATTTAATGATTCTTTATCTTTTCTATATTGTATATTAGAATAAATCTTATCTAGAATTAAACCTAATGGTGAATTTACGTGCTACAGTTGGTGGCGCCCCTAGGAAGTGCGGAAACAATTAAAAATGAGGTTTTTTTCTATTATTATTTTTTAACGTGTATTTCATACAAAAGTAAAAAAATATATATAAGAGTCCGTCTAATACTTTAATGTATTTTTTTCGTATTATTAATACTTTTAGGACCTCCTTTCATTTATTAATGTGTCCAATGTTCGATAATGATATTTCTAGTAAATATGTGAGCATTAACATGTACATGCGTACATTCATATTAGTGGATGATGGCATGTATGAAATACTTATATGACAATTTATTTCATACGAACATTAGTCGAATGGCGAACGTTTGATTGCGCATGCAATAATAATTTTGATAAAAAACGATTTAATTTTAATTTAATA